ACGGCGATTCGTTCCAAAAAAATCAGCTCGAACGAATGAAAACTCGTAGAGATATTCGAGAAATGCGAAACCCATCATTCTTTATGGCCCACCCGTTATATATATATATTTTTTTTGTTTTTATTTAATTAATGAAAAATAATTCTTATTCTATATGCTGTATAGTTAATCAATAGAATTTAAAAGTTCTTCTTTTTAAATAAGAAATTATTGTAAATAAGCTTCTTTTTTAATTAATAATCCACAAGAACGAATTGCTAATGGATCATTAATTCTCCATAATGGTCCATGAGTCATTGAATCTGTATGGATAGTAAATGAATTCGGTCTAACACGAAATTGAAAAATAAGTTTAAACATTTGATTATTATCACCATTTGATATTCTAATTGCTTTTGTATATTTATCATCAGCAGCATCATTATAATTTGTTGTTAGATAAATAAACGAAGAAGAAGAAGAACTATCTATTTGTATTTGATTTTCTATTGAATCTTTTTTAATTTTATTAAATAAATTCATTTGTTCATAAATATTCTTCAATAATATTGAATAGGTTCCATGATAAGCAAATGGCCATAGATCATTGTTATTATTATCATTTGAAAAGCATATTTGATTATCAAAATATTTATTATTAAGATTAATTTCATGACGAAACCAGTCATCTCGAATGTCAGATGAACAGTTTTCAAATTGATTTTCTTTTAATAAATCGATTTTTCTAGGATCATTATTAGAATTTACATCAAAATCTTTTGAACTCAATTGAAAATACGACAATTGACATTTTAATTCATAACGATAACGATCAGATTGAATAAAACGAAGAATTTTATCATTTCGAAAATCTGATCGACGAACAAGAGTCTAAAATATAAGTTAAAAAAAACGAGTTAAATTTAATTAAAGTTTACTTGAAAATGTCGAGCAAGAATTTCTGTTTGATTTTTTTCAGGTGTTGTTAAACCAAAATTAACTTGTATAATAGAACGTTTACTATCAAGTTTTTCAATGGAAAATATTCGAATAAAATCACTGTTACAATGAAGTACATCGGATATTGACTTAATAAAATCATAAATAAAAATTTTCATTGTTAAAGTTGATCTTATCAAATCCCGATCATAATTAATATTTAATTTAACAGAAAATATTGCTGTTTGAATAAAATTTGAAATTATTAAATGAATATTACTTAAATTAGCAATACCACAAATCATATATTGAAGAGAATTTGAATAATTTATATGTTCATTTGTAAAAGTTAATTCACCTTCATACTGACCAATAAAATCATTAAGTAAAATAATAAGAGTTTCTATTGAATCTTGGCTGATTTGAAATTTTTCATGAGAAAAATCTTCTGATTTATGAATAAATTTTCTATATCTTGCTAAAATATTAATAAGATTTCTATCAGTAGAATCATTTGGATAGATAATATCTTTTAGTGCCAGCTTTTTATCATCTAATTTAAATGAACAAGGTCCCATTTTTAATTTCGTTATATTATCTTCAATATCAATTTCAATTATTTTCATTTTCATATCAAATATATTTGATAATGTTTTTGGTCTACTATTTAAGCTGGAATAAACTTGATAAATTGTAAAATTTTGTATACCTTTTAATTTAATAATTCTTGCTTCAATTTTACTAATTCGAGAAACAGTTTTTTTATTTGTTTCAACATTATTATGAACATTTTCACAGGTTAAACTTTTTAATTTATTTTCAAGATTATTAATTCGTTTACGAAGTGTATAAACGATTTCTAAATCATCCATTTATTTTTCTAGTTTTTGTTCTTTTTAATTATCTAAAATGAGAAACAAAGAAATGTTTTTATGCACAAAAATTCTATAAAAATAAAACTACATAGTAAAATTTCAATTTCAATTTCTACATTCTTCTACTAAATGAGAATGTAAACTAACAAGATCTATCAAAATATTTTGAAATGAAATTAATAGAATGTAACTGAATTATTTTTTTCTTTTTCATTGTTCAACTCTTCTTTTTTATATGTTAAATGGTGAAAAGAAACAAAAAAGAGAAACTCAAAAGAACAATAATAAATGGATGATGTTCGGTACCGATGGAAACATTTGTAAACATCACTCATATGTTTAAAAAACAATTATTGAAGAAAAAATTCAAAATTTGCTTGTATCAATAAAATATTATGAAATTTGAATATAATAAAGAAAACACCAATTTATAACGTCTCTTTAGAGATCATTTCTTTGTGAAATAAATACTGATATACATAGTAAATTAATTCGATATTAAAATTTGTTTAGTATGAATGGCAAATCCAAAATTTCACACATAATTATTTTATTCTTATAGGCAAAGTTGTAAAGTAAATAAGTACTTTTAATTAAATAAGTTTCAATGAATGTAAGATCCTATTACATAGCAACAATGAAATAAATTGTAGCACAGAGTAGTAGATATGAATTCAAAATTTTAATCTACGATGCGATTTTTTGTCATATCATCAAAAATTATATTTATATTAATTAAACAAATTGAAATCAATCAAAGAGCAATAAAAACTTGTTCAACTTTTCCTTTCAATTATCATCTTGATTGAATATTTTATTTAGGGTAAGATTGTTCGCAAAAATTCAATAGTTTTCATTTATTAAAAATTTTTAGACAACGATCTATAGGAAACTATTTAATATAGATCTAAACATCAAGATAAATACTTATTGATTACCAAACAACTAAAATCTAGGAAATCTGGCAGAAATGAGTCGAACAACTTTTATTACAATGAAAACAGATAAAATATTATGAAATTTCTAAATTTCAAAAAAAATCAATTCTATTATCTATCGTATTTTTCATTTAATATTCATAATGTTTGATAAAAGAAAAAAATCTACTCTGATTAAACATAAAACTTATGAAAAAAAATCAACATCTGTTTGACGTTTCCTGGGATTAATTATTATTTGCCAGATGGCCAATGGAAAAGAAAAAAATCTTTATTACGTTTCTAAATCGATATTCCCTCTACTGAAAGGAGGGTCATACGCTAAGCGAGCAAAATTCGTACGTTTGTATGTTCGTTCGTCCAATAGAAACGCAAATACCAGAACTTCTCGAAACCCTCAAAATAGCTACTGCAGTTTTTCTAACTATAGATAATCGAGGTTGGGGAACTTGGATTCAGCAGCAGTTTTTCATAAATTTTTACCAAAGGTTCCAGGGTGGAGGAAATTGAATACTGTATCAGCTTTGCGAAACTTTCTAGGCGATGTTTTGGTAAAGAAGGATTATTGCCTGACATCTATCAGACAGTATGAAAAGAAGAGCTGCTGTGAATAGAAACAAAGTGATCAGAAGCGAAAGTTGCTTAGAAAGCATCCATAATTTGGACAATAATACACGAATGATCAGCAGGCTGAACTGATAAATATTATGGATCTGAGAGAAAATAAGTTGTTTATGTTATGGGTGTAATTATTGGTTACTGATTTAATAAGGGTCTATTTCCATATTGCATTTTCTGTGGAAACGGCTACCCGTGAGTGGCGCCCCTGTTATAGTCATATGTTTATTCCTTGACTCATCAACATTTGTATACTCATTCCCTGACACATAATTCCTCTATATATCGGCTTGTCCGCGTAACGTGTAACTTCTGGGACGGGTGTCTCGAACTCTGTATTTGAAAAATCTAATATTACCATCGTGTAGAGCAGAGTCGAAAATACATAGAAACATGTTTTGTTTCTCTTTTATACATTTAAGAAACATTTTGCAGTTAGTGAAAGAGAAGCTACTGTGCACGCAGAAAAATTAGTAAATTTATGTATGCTACTGATTCATCAAACGTTTATCTTGGCAGAAATAAATGGATATTTAGTGGATTAATATGAATAGAGAATATATCGAAACGTGCATCATTTGGCACAGCAGATAATATCCTATGTATTGTAGATTTTCGTAGAGAGCCTATGAAAGTTTACTTTATTTATAACATCATCGCGTAACAAAAAAGTGTCTATTGTTTGTTTTTTCTCATTGCTGAATCGCAGCTAATTTCATACTAAAAGTAAATACGTAAAGTCAAATTTTTTGCGGCTATCTAAGGCATAGGATTTTGTTCGAAAAAGATAGTGTGTTATAAAAATTTTATGTAACGCGATGATGAGTTTTACTTTTTTCTGACTTTTCCATTTTCATAAAAGAGCATCTTGAGCGAAAGAATTTTTATTCTAACATCAGTATAAGTTGTAAGCAATCGATTTCTAATGAAAGCATATTAAGTTATGCACACAACATTGTCCAATGGTCTGAGTGGATATTGTTCATTTCAAATAGAACGACCAATCAAAATCGTTCAACGTTTCTGTAATGCTTATTCTCGTTCAGTTACAACGATAATTTCAATCTCTATATTGTTTGAATAATTAATATTGAATCATTTCTCTTCAAAACAATATATTCATTTTTAAATTGATCTAAGTTCAACAGTAGCTAGATTTGCGATTGAAGCTGAAGCAATGGAGTGAAATGGTTGAATCTAATGCTGAACGACTGAAACTCTATAGTATTAATTTATTAAAAAATAAGTTGGAATTTGAACAAATGAAGCAAAAAAAACTCGTATCTGTGATAGTCAACGGTGTAGAAATTTAATAGGTGATTCATTGGAAAAATTACGTCTTCGATAAAAAGTGGCATCGAAAAAATATCGTGACAAATTAATCATTAAATTTTATAATCGTGATGTTAGTTACCTAACAACCGGTAAACCGGATTGTATTACAGTAGAGGATGATGGGAAAAAAATTACATTACAAAGCTCATCGTGTAACGAAATCGTCATCGCGTTACGTTAATGAAGGAAGTCTCTTGTTAAAATAAGATCACTGTTCGGAAATGTTTTTGTTCACTGCAAATCTCAAACTGTCGGCTACAAAGTATCTATAGAAAGTTCCATTCGATACTGCAGAAGATTCGCCGAAAAATTAAGAACAATCACATCACCCAGAACTTTTTGTTCTTTTTTCGTCAGCAGCTACCGGGAATTATTTATTTGGGTTTTTCTGGATCTTTTAATAAATCCCGGTATTTATATTCGTCTCGGGGTTTATTGGGGATTTATTGTGATTTTTTTATGATTTCATTCGATTTTATTCAAACTAATTCAAATTCCTGGGGATTTTTTTAATAAATCCCAGTATTTATTTCAATTTGGAATTTAATGGGATTTTAAAAGTTAAGTCTGATATCCATTTCTGATTATTTATTAGTTAAAGCTTTCAGATATATAATGAAAAATAAAATAAAATCATATTGTTAAAAACATAGATACATACATGAGAATTTTAAAATTAGTGTGACGATTTTAGAGACAAAAGGTGCTTACGTTGATGCAAGTACGCTTGGTTCAGCTTCTTTATATCACAAATCGTATCGTTTACATTTACAGCAGGTGCTTATATACGCAACCAAGAGAGAGAGAAGGAAAAGATACAACAAGAGAAAATATAGACATAACAATAGAAAGATGAGGATAACAGGAAAGATAATTATGGAAGATGATATATGTATTCGTGTCGACAGAATAAGTGACAAGCTAATATTTGTTATGAACGCATGAATGACAAGAGATATGTTGAAAAGGAAAAGTCACCGAAGATAAAACGTGATGCATGAACAATCTGAACACAGTGCGTCACAATTATCTTCACTAGGTTGATATTTTTTGCAATAGTTGAATGTCCTAGATGTTATTGATTAAAATACAGAAATAGATTTACGGAGAAATCTTATTATTACTGGATAACTTCATTGAATTAGGAAGTAGTTGTAATATATCGTGTAGTTACCCAAAATCAAACTGCAATTATATCTGGACGCCATGAAACATAATGATTGTTTTTAATCATGTTGAGGCAATTGATCAAGTCATTACAATGAAAATAGATTAAGCTATCTGATTTACGTGTATGTTTGAATCTCAACGAGACTCAGAGAGCAAAAACTTAAAGAATGTGACTTAACGTTAGTGTTGCATTAATGGATATTATTTTTAATCGTTTACATTGGAGTGACGGAAATGATCTATGTTTTTTTAGTTAATGCTACGAAAATGAGTTATTAGCTTGAATTAGCTTTGAATCAATATTAGAATTAAAATAACATCGATTAATACTAACATACAGATGGGCACATTAAATAATGCTAAAAGTCTATTTGAATTTATATGATAATAACAGAGTATTAAATGACTTTTTTCAGCATCACTGAATTAGTATGATAATGTTTTCTAAACTCTAATAGAAAAATGTTAGCGTTTTTCCAAAAGTGAAGTAAGCCACTGCTCCTACGCAAGATCAAGTAAAAAATAAACCAAATAGTAAGGAAGTACTTATTTATAGCAGAGAAAAAAGAAAATTGAGATCTATACATTAGAATTGATTTAGGACAGTGGTATAACTACGACAGATAGGTAGACATTTCATCTTAAGGCGTTATATTTTTGGCACAGTCAATCATATCACTGCAGTGATTAGTGATGCATGAAATGCAATCTCAAGCACATAGAACACTTTGATTTGAGTAGAATATGACAGAATTTTACAGAAATTCAATGAGATTCGACAGCGGTTGACTTGGATTCGACTCGACTCTACAGTGATTGACAGTAATTGGTTGGGCTTGACAGGGATTTTACCAGGATTTGACTGGGATTGAGTGAGATTCGACAGATATTCGATTAAATTTAACAAGGATTCACAGAGATTGACTATACTATTGAAGAATTTGACGGAAACCAACTGAATTTTGCTAGATACTATCTGAATGTAGTTGGATTTCATATAAAAATCCAAGTTAAATGCTACTCAAATCTAGTTGAATCCAAATCTGGAATCGAAACTGGATGTGATATATCTCAAGTAGTGATTGATATTCAAATGGGTAAAAGCTTATTTCCATATATTTCTACGTAGAATTATTTGGAAATACAGCAATTCATGGGAAATTCATTAGAAATACAATAAGAATACTTGGAGACACAGAGGTATGCTTTTCCCTTGTTGATATCGAATTGTCTTCTTATGTGCATACCATAACTAAAAACTGTTAACATCAATAACCACCGGGAGAAAAACTTCCCAACCACGCCATACAACCTTTATAGTAGTCTAGCGGTTTGGGGACGCTTTGCGCTCCCCGAAGAGTGGCGACCCACGCTCATTTCTACCTACACAGTAATCGGAAACAGTCGCATCATCTAATAGCATTATAATGTCGAGAAAAAGCCAATACTTTTGCATTACCAGTAACAATTTAGATTAACGTGTAAAAGTTATAAAGATTATAAATGATGGATGCCAGAACTTTTCAGTTACAGTCGGACTTGAATCATGTATCTATTTGAAAATCAATACTTGAATTTTGCACTAAAGTATATATCATCATGGGCCATACAATGAATGAAGTACCAATCATTAAATCAGATATTAGACTGCAAGTAACATGAGACGTAGGTGATCTAACGATTAGATAAAGTAAAGTAAAAATAAAAGACAGGAGGCTAAAAACAAATTTTACTTTGATGCGTTACATACATCAGCAATACCGTGTCAGTATCATTAATGAAATAAATGCTAGGCTTTCTGTTAATAAATCGATTAGATGCTATGGAACCGTAACAATACTTTCAGTAAGTCTGTCAATCAGTTTTCAGAGTAAAATATCGCTTTATTAAAGTAATAACTTTAGAATGAACTTTTTGTCAATAAATAAATTTCTTCAGAACGCCCCTACATAGAATATTTTAAAAACTCTTATGATTCATGTTACAGTTATTTTCATAAATTTTATATTAACATTTTGCAAACAATAATTATTTTGTAAGAGAAAAAAAGATTAAATCAAATAGGTTGGAACATTTTATAATCAACACAAGACAGCGCTATAACGAGTTAACGCAATTGTGTTATTGATGATTGTAAAAATTTAGGTTAATGAATATTATTATATTTTGAAGCTCGTGTTCTTAGAATACATACGCTGAAAGAAGACTTCATCGGTCGAGGAATTGTAAAATGTCAAGGAGCTGTAAATAACTTATTAAGTGAAACATGATTATGTTCTATGTGTATCCTTGGGAAAAGTATCAGTTTACTAAGCAAGTAATCGAATTTAAGAAATTTTTATAAAACGCAAACAACAAATGCTCTGATCGGAATAGATCCGGCAGAATAGCTATTCAGTAGCGTGTGACATGATTTTTAGTAGGGATATTTCTATGGAATTCTTATATATATATATATATATATATAATGGATATCAATCGATCCTTTTATGTATAGAATATATCCGTTGAGAGAAAAATAGATCCGCCGGGGAATCGATTTATCTTAGGGAGATAAGTGTAGGTGAATGTCCATAGATATAACGGATGGCCCAGAATAAATTAGACTCTTAGTATGTTTATAATTTCTCCTCTATTATCCATATGATGGAGGCACGTTTTTTTATCAACAGATAGCGCTTGAAATTCTCTACAAAATTATATACGACTAGGCCTAAAAAATTCTTTTACATATATTTGAAAAAAAGATGAAAAGTAACGACATATAAAAAGCCGTAAAAAATAACGGGTTGGGCATTATGAATGACCACAATTGCGTCTCATTTTTCTATCACTTACTTCATCCTATTAGAAAAACAAGATATACCAATAGATGCAGCGTGAAAAGCTCTACAACCTACATGACTGTTTATTTTATAGTCGCACTTTTTGTGTTGAAAATGGACACAATTTTGGGCGGTCAAATTTCGATCCTGCGAAAATAATGTAATTTTTGGTAGAAGATGAATTCGTGTCTTTTCTTATTCCCTCTTTTTAAAATTTTTTCTTGGTAAATTGTAGAGCTTCTCGCGCTGCATATCTTGATATATTTTGCTTTTCTAATAGGATGAAGTAATGGATAGAAAAATGAGATGCAAGCGCGATTATTCATTATATCCAACCCGCCACCTTTCACAGCTTTTTATGTGTCGTTACTTTTCATCTTTTTTCAAATATATCTAAACAATTTTTTGGGCCTAGTTATATATAATTTTGTAGAGAATTTCAAGCGCTATCTTTTGATAAAAAAAAGTATCTCCATCATGGGGATGATAGAGGGGAAATTATAGAAACACTAAGAGTCTAATTTATTCTGGGCCACCCGTTATATATATATTCTTAATAGATCCGCTGGCATTAAAATGAACCACTAGGAAATTATTTACTCTGATAGGTGCTAGAATAGTCTTTGTTATAAAAAAATATTGTTAGAATAAATCCGTTTGATAAAATCGATCCGAGGATAGTTTACACTGTGATATATACAGATTTATGTGATTTATAAGAACATTATTCCACGTTATACCACATAGAGAAAGATCCCGGAATTTTTAAAAGATCTAATAAATCCCTAAAAAATAAGTCCCGGTAGCCCCTCGTTTAGATGAAAAAATATTAAAAAATTTCCATTTTGATTCTAACGTTGATGATTTTAGTTTTTCTTCTTGCAGTGCAACAACGGTTAATTTTGATGTCAACATACTCGTTAGCTTTGACTAAATTCAATCAAACGTTCTGTCATTATGGTGTTTGTACTGGATGAAAGTTTTTCTATGAAAGTATAAAGATAAACATAATAACGACTGATTATTACGTATTTGCAGCTAACAGCAGTATGCATACATGTGGTTATATATACAGTAATAGTTTCGATCCTACTTGTCCATCTTCTAATATGCTTCTTATCTAATTATGGCAGTGGTGACGATCAGCAGTTTGTATTGAGAATGACTCACAATAGTGAGACAAAATATCTATTGATTGTGACAGCTTCTTATCCAAATGTAACTTGACCATTCATAATAATTGGACTTGATGAAGCATTAATTCATTTTTCTCAAATAAATATATCAAGTAAAATATTTTAATTAAAGAATAATTTTTGAAAAATTTAAAACAGAAAAATTCATTAATTTTCAACTTGATCATTCAAAAATTTTGTTCGGCTATTTATTTCAGAAATTTTCATTTCGATAAAATCAATTTTATCTTAAAAATACAATTTAATTTTTAATAAATGTAAATATTATTTGTAGAATAGTTTTATTCATTGTTAATTAATATGATTATTAATATAGAAAACAAATCTATTTAAATATCATATATTTATTTATTTAATTAGATACTCTAATAGACACCGAATCAGTATGCTCATCATCATTAAATCAATTCAGTCCAAAATACTGTCGTACGATGAATAATTCAAAATATGAATATTATTATCAATCTATTCCTATAAAATATCAATAGATGGATTTATCTTTTAAAATCAAATAGTCTAATAGATACAATCGGTTATATTTATAAGAATAATTTTAATTCTTCTTGTCCATTTCAAAATTTAATAGAACAAAATGATGATGGTGCTGATCATCAACAATTTAGATTTCAAATATTTTTTAATCATACAAGAACATATATTTTGGTTGTAACAACATTTTCAATTATCTCAGCTGGTCCAGCATCTGTTCAATTCATTATTCAATCAAGATAATCCTATTATTATACGCAAAAGGAATTCGAAAATTTAACTTAGATTTATTATTTCATCTTTAAATTCAAAGAAATTTGACTTTTTTTTGTACGAAGAAGATAGAAAAGTAAATTTTCATTATTACATTATCATTATTTGTTGTTTGTATTAAAATAAATTTCAGCTAAAGATGTTGATTAACTATATAATATGATCATCAATACTTGCTATGTTCACTTCTCGACACAAACGAAGTGTATTTTCTACATCGAACAACAAGTCTTCCTTCACATAAATCAATTTTCCCTTATATTAAAATAATCTTAAAATTATTTCAAAAATTTGCATTAAAATCTTCTTGAAAAATTATAATCAAACAAATTTGAAATTGTTTAAGATAAATATCGATTGACATGCGCAATATGTTCTATTGATAGTACTAATCTATTCTTTCAATATTCACAATGGGTGTGTTGATGAATATAAAATTATTTTTCTTTTGAAAGTTAATTTATTTATTTTTCATAAAAATGATAACTGTTAATATAACTATATAAGTTCGAATAATTTTAATGAAATTCTTTATTATTTAAATATTCAATTAAATATTTAAAATCTTGTTTAACAGATTCTAAAACTTCATTTTGACATTCGGATTGAAAATTATGATGTCCATTAAACATTCGAACGCGAAATAAATCATTTGTTGTTGTTAGTTCTTTCCATCTAAAATATTTTTTTAAACTTATTGATCAAGATTATTATTAAAAAAAGAAGAATATGAAATAGACCTATTTAAAAATGGTTCTTTAACATTTTCTTCTTTTTCTCCACCATAAACAATAATTGGCACATTTATTGGAGTTGCAGATAATAAATCGTCACCAACCTAAAATAAATGTTGACAAAAGAAATTGTTTTTTTCAGTTGAGTATTTAAAAAAAGATGAACTAAACCAATGCATCAGCTTTTAACATTGGTATTAACATTTGAACAAATGATGGAAAATCATAAACTTCTCGTGTTTTTGGATCTGAAAATGAAAAGAAACAAGGTTCTTTTAAGAAAGAAAAAGAACACTAACTATTATATACCTGCCATTTTCTTTAAATCTTGAACTATTTCTTCGTCAGTCATTTGAGCAAAAGATAGATCAGGATCTAAAGATTTTTTTGTATAAAAAAATAACTACCCTTAATTAATTAATTAAAATCAACCTTTCAAATGAGGTGGTCCTCTTCCCATTTCAATTAATAATTTAATTAAATTGCCTCTATTATTGGTGTCAATCATATGTTTAGCTAATGCAAAATTAATTGCAGTTCCAACACTTGAATAAAATATTGAAACGATTAACATTAAAATAAGAAAATAATTAATAAATAATACCTATGCCCAATAAAAATACATGGTTTATTTATATAAGGTATAAGTCCTGTAGTCATTTCCATAAGATATTCTTTTATAGTTGTTAGTAAATTTTCACTCATTCTAGTTAATCGTCCAGGATAGATTATTAATGAAAATTCAAATTCAGGAAAATTTTTTCCCCATTCACGGTAATATTGACCTAAAATTTTGGTTAAATATGAAGAAAAATTATCAAAGATTAAATTCTACCTGGTGTACCAGCAGATGGAAATATAAATACTTGATATTTTGCTGTTGGACGTGACTGACAAATTTCAAACCAAGGATGATTATTCTTTGAACTATTAGCCATTTAATCTATACTAACGAATGAACTATTTTCAATGAAAATATTTTGATTCATTCTTCTTACTTTATTAATATTCACTTTTGATCAAATGAAGATAGACGATTCATATTGAAGAAAAAGAAAAAGAAAAAGAAACGATGAAGAACAGTTTGTTCATTGATCCGTAACATAAGAAATTACCTTCAATGATAGAAAAACTAACTAAACCTTCAAGTTATATTCAATGTAATTGAATAAACTCTGAACAAAGTAGCATTATACATATCCATTGAAGTTTCTATTCATCAACTTTGTTTAATCTATTCTAACAATCAATTGGGAAATAAAACTTATTGAGAAATCTATTCAAAAATTTTATTTATCGTTGAAAAGAAAATATTCATTCGAATTATTAAATACAAAAAATCAATTTCGATCAAGTCGCTAGACCTGAAATTTCATCGAAATAAATATCAGGGTGTGGGTGTATCTCTTCAGTTTATGCACAGCTGTACGCCCACATCCTTACCCACTGAAAACTTGTATTTAATAACTTTCAAGATGTGTTTGATGCGATTGATTTTTCCACGTACCCCTGAGAGGGACTGCGGGGATAATATTGGAAAAAAATAAAAATGCTTGAAATTCTTTGAAATGTATATGTATTTACTCAGGTTTGAACACTCATTTTGAATATCGTATTCGTTTTACTGAGTTCGTTGCTCTTTCTAGCAGCATGCGAAAAATATTAATCAAAACAAACATAAAAACATGTACACAGCTTGATATTTGTAGGGTAATTTTTTGTCGCTAAGATTTTTTCCCAATGTTCTTGCATAGAACACTAGAACTGATCAAGATCTATCTTTTTATATAAAATGTATAATGGTTCCGATTGAAATCGAGACTATTCGGTTTGTCATTTCATCAGAAATCAGAATTCTTTACCAAAAAATTCGATATGCTTCTCTTATCATGAGCCCCGACTCAAGGTTTCTTTGCGATTTTTTTACATAAAATATCAAGGGGAAAAAGCTGATTGCAATCAAAGCAATCATTGGCAATCAAAGCAATCAGCAGCAATCAATAGCAAATATTACCAATGATTTAGAATAAAATGCTTTTTATTCAAGACAATGAAATTTGTTGTCATTTAAATAGTTAATAGTATAGAAAGTATTGTATCATCATAACAAATATCATCTTAAATTGTCTACATATATTCCGGTCGATCGCGACGAACTGTAGACACTCGATATATAATCTAAGGCGATATTTTTCTTTTTTCGGGTGTTCATGTATTCATGTGCTCATTTGCTCATGTGACACAATAATTCAGAACGAAAAACTGAAAATATCTCTTTCTCCTTTTGTTTTCGTTTCATTTCCATCTTTTAAAAAGAACTCACTCGCATACTGCTCATTTTATTAATTCCGCTATTTTACTATGTCTACCCCGAAATATTCACAAATCTACACAAAAACACTTCCTTCGAATATCATGGATCTTCGTGATGATGCGTTTTACGATTTAATTCGTCAAATTTCTGGAAAGTGAGTCGCATAATTGTTTGCTTTTCAAGAATGCAATGGAGTTGATTCATTCCTTGGACGTAAATATGCTACTGCCTCGTGAAAAATTGTCAAATTATATTTGATTTAGAAGATTTGAATCAATTATAATTTTGATTCTGTTGCGCAAAAATTCGACGGTAATCTCATAGAATCTCATATAATTAACAAATTTTCACTGTTTGCTATACTCCAGCTTAAATTCGATCAATTAAATGATCTAAAAAAGCATACATGCATTACGTTAACCGATGAACGATTGCACTTTGACTAGGAGTTGCATCATCGGTTCATAGTCTCATTAAACTACTCAAAAAGGAACGAGAAAAGCTACCAAGCAAGTTCAACGATTTCCATCAATCATTTATTCAGCTCTACCAGATGTAATTATCATCTTGTCTGTTCTACCAATAGTAAATGTATCGAGGGTGTTTGTGTGGTTGTTGATGTGATCTTCATTTGGTACACATTAAGATCTCGGCGACACCCACACCCGTAAAAAATGTATCGTTTCTAAATTTTATTAAATATCAAGCTGGCGATAGCCACGCCAATGATTCCAATAATAAATTTTTATTTACTCATATTCGCAACAGTCTAGGATAGTCGATTCTAAACAAATATCATCTATAGCATCGACTTCTATCGTACAAGTAACAGTTAAAGTACTCGAAAATACTATTTTACGAGCGTATTCTTATGCAAGTCGTCTCGTATGTAACGTAAATATGTATCAACAACATCAAATCTTATCGCTAAGAAAAATGTCAAAACTGACTAGTTTTCAACTTCAAAAATCACGAATAGTCGATTATTCACATCTTAACCAGCAATATTCAGACTTTAACTCAGATTCAGATGATAGTAGTGGTGAATAAGATGAATATACTACTGGAAATTGCACAGATAATGAAGATTCAACTGGCAATGACGAGGATTCTATATCTAGTCATCTTTTCAAAGTTAGTTCGACTACAGTTCAAGGAATGCGAGTTTTTGAATCCATTAATCCAACCTTGGCCAAGTCGTACTTTATCGTTAACGTTAATGGTACAAATATATATTTTCATAAACAGGCAGCTGCTTGACTGCTTTCAAATGATAAGTCTACTTTCTCTTAAGTTCGTTTAAAGCGCATTATGAAAAAATGATGAAATCTACTTACATTCCAGTTCTTTATATTTGAATCTCATATTTCTTTTTCTCTGCGTTACACATAGAGGTGTCAGCCGTGCGGCTGAGCCGCCGCCGCCGCTGTGGCAGGAAAAATTTTAAGAATTTTTAAGCCGCCGCCGCTGAAGGACTTTAATTACAGCCGCCGCGCCGCCGATGAAATCCGAAATTTTAAAATTTGTTAGCCGCCGCCGCTGACACCTATCATAGAAATCGATAATCTTTTATTCATATTTTCCTGAATTCTGCATTGGTTAGA